ATCAAGAACTGTGTCAACTCTTCGCTTCACTTCACTGACGTGGAACCACACGGGAGATCATCCACTATATGGTAAAGCAAATTTTGAAAAATACGGGTTCTTCTAGTGCTGAAAATTGATTTCCAGCATCATTTTGTCGTTTTCAGAAGAGATTTTTGAGATTTCGAGTAGTTGGTTTTGGGATTTCGGGAAATTTCGAACCTTGGGGATACGTTCTCAGCTCACTAAAGTGAGATAACGAAGAAGAAATCCAAGGAGCTTCAGATCGATTTAATTCGTATGCTCGGTGGATTTCGGAGAATAAGAATTTTCAGATGAGTGAGGTTTTGAGTAGTTGGGTTTCGAATTTTGGAGAATACCGTATTTACTCGAATAGAAGACCGGTCTTCTATTTTTTCAATCACCCCTAGACCCCGTCTTCTATTCGAGGCCGGTCTTCTATTCAAGACGGTCTTTTATTATTTGCATTCACGAAAATTTTTGGGAAAGTAACCAGCGTTTAAAAAAAACTTTTTTATAGAAATTTATTGTAACATTTAACAACAAAATTTATCAACAACAACAACAAAATTTATCAACAATAACAGCATTAACAACAATTAATAAGAACATAAAAAAGCAGTAATAACAACATTATTCTTCATTCTCACTTGATTCAATGTCATCCTCTATTAAATCTGGATCTTGCAAAATTCCATCAAGTAGGGACTCGCTGCGCTCGAAATTGAATCGTTTTCACTCTCATCTCCATTGTTTCTATCCTCGTCGGAGTCGATATCTTGACAAAGTTTTGCTAATCTTCCCTCCAATCTTGCAATATCCAGCTTGGATCGACCACTCTCAACAGCTTCCCCATTGCGACAACAAACAATCTGATCATCCTCGCTGTTGGACTCCTTGTTGTCATTTTTTGCCGTCACAAAAAATTCGCAAGCCATTCATTGCTTGCAGAGAAAGACTTTGTGAAATCTAGGTTTGATTCGCGAAAAAACTCCTTGGCTTTGTCCTGAACCATACGTCGAGAAACTTTTAGCTTTTCCTCTCGTTTTTCTTTGATCCATCGAAGTGGTCTCCTCGACTGCGCGAAATTTAAGCATTCGCCCCCCTCCTTTTAACCGCTTCGCTCCTTTCGATTCCTTTTGCAGCGACTCCTCTTTTGCCGTCCAGTCTCGAATCATCTTTGGAGTCACCTTAAACTATCGAGCAGTCGCCTCTTTCGAGTTTTTCTTTGAAAAACGAATGGCCTCGAGTTTAAAGGCGTAGGCTTTCCGTTTCGTAGCACCTCCGATCCCCTAAAAAAAATGCTACTTTTCCGTTATACCTCCGCCAACTCCACATTTCCGTTATACCCCGCCAGTTTTTAGATAAAAAATGATCAGCTAATCAAATAATTAAAAATAATCAGAGTCAAAATGACGGAAATGTGGAGATGGCAGAGGTATAATGGAAAAGTACCAAAAAAATTATTAATACAAGCTGTAGAACAATATCAAAAAAATAGTGCTATTGAATGAAAATATAATATTTTTACCCTATTGGGTAAATTCCCTTATTCTTTTCCCGTATTTGAGTACGTCCACTCTTGCGCAGGATAGAAAACAGGGTACCTCGAATATAAGACCGGTCTTATATTCGAGACGGTCTTCTATTTTTTCGATCATCCCCTAGACCCCGTCTTCTATTCGAGACGGTCTTATAATCGAGGCCGGTCTTCTATTCGAGTAAATACGGTAATCAGTAATAACACCATTACGATTGATCCGATTCTAATAAATTTTAATTTCTAAACGTCCTAAAAAAATTTTTATTTATATAGCTTTTTACAGAATACTTGCTGGTCTATGGATGGGGCTTTTTACGCAAGCCCGGAATCAATTTTCAGCACTAGGGGAACTCGTATTTTTCAAAATTTTCTCCACCATAGTGGATGATCTCCCGTGTGGTTCCGCGTCAGTGAAGTGAAGTGAGGTGAGGCGAAGACTTGACACACTTGATAAATCACGATCAAAATGAAATTGAGCATCAAAGCTCAACCCATTTCAAATTTTCGAGTTCATTTGCGCATCCCCTAGCGGGGACGCGTTCCAAAATTTTTTCGAGACACTGTTGGAAGGTCTCGGGGTTAATGCTAACCTCAAACTTGGGTAATTAAACCGGAGAGTCGGGTCTCTGTCGCCCTATCTGGACGAGCCGTGTGCCAGATGCCGCTTTTCCTTACCAAACACACATGGTACACAGAGTCGTGTCGTCTCGCGTCTCTGCGAGGGCTGATGCTCTCTCATGGCGGCCGTCTATTTCAGTTGTCTCTCACAGCCGCACACTCGCTTACGACCATACCACGTTGGAAACACGGCATCCCGTCCGATCTGCCAAGTTAAGCAACGTTGGGCTCGGTTAGTACTTGGATCGGAGACGGCTTGGGAATCCCGAGTGTCGTAAGCTTTTTTGTGGATCGGTCTAGAGACAATTTTTGCACAGGGTAAAGCGATTGCTTAAGTTCAAACAGAAGTTTAAGTTCTCGTTCTCTAGGGTGGGATCAAGATCACCGCACGTTTGTGTTCAATATCTATGTCGTAAGCTTTTTGCTTTTTTGGAGGATCTTTCTAGAGATTTGGGAATCAATTTTTTCGCAAATTAAGTGGATAAATTGTTTTTTGAATTTAGTTTCTTTATTCTCGGAACTTTACAGTATACAACTTACAAGATCGACGTGTTGGGTCGAGGGATTCTTTTGGAGCTTCAGAAAGGATTCAAAGTGATCGAATTGCTGACTATGTGATTTTTGCAATCCCCAAAGGGAAAATCTTTTCCAAAATTTCTTGAAACACTTTATGTGGGTCTCGGGGTTAGTACAACCTCTAACTTGGGTAATTAAACCGATGCGGCGGTCTCTTCTCCGCTATGTCGCATCTCGAAGTGAGATATTATTGATGTGTCAGGTAGGCCATTCTCAGCGCATGATCAGATTTTCCTTAACTCAAAATAACTGGGATTCCAAAATAAGATAAATAACCATAAAAATAATTCTCATGGAGAGATATGTTCTAATTTGTGCGGAGATTTCCTTTTCTTTTCGACCGTAGGAATGATGCTTGAAAAAGGTGGTCACGATAAGAAAGAGCCTTTGTGTTTTCAGATAATTGCCAGTTCAATCCTTTCTCAAGGATTGAAACTTGAAACTTTCTCAAGGATTGAAACTCAAAAGTTCAAGTCCTCCTCATCACAGATGTCTCATTTCTAATCGAATCGAAATTCATCAAGTTTTGGACTCTTCCCGACCATGGGCTTTCACAACTCCTTGCTTAGTTGTGAATATTCAATTTTCAGCTTTCTCACATGGTTAGAATCAAGTATTAACGATGAATTTCTTAATGAATCTCAATGAATTTCAATATCAATATCATTTCTGGCATATCAATATTATTTCTGCGTAAATCGAATCACAAAGAACAAAGGATTTAATCGATTAGCTTTATCGATTAGCTTTATCGATTAGCTTTATCGATTAGCTTTATCGATTAGCTTTATCGATTAGCTTTATCGATTAGCTACAATTCGTCTCTATGATAATCCAGGAAAAGATTTCGAACAGCTTAATGAAAAGATAAATGTTTATTCTATGAAAGCCTTTTCGCAATTTTTTTTGTTTTGTTCTTGCCTTATCTAACTTATCAGAACTAATTTGCTTGTATTACAAATTACTAGTGTGCTTTTTCTTGAATTCACGTGGCTAGACCTTTGCTTTTGCTTGAATGGATAGTAAAACCAAGTTTATTCAATCCACGTGGGGTAAAGCGTTTGAAAATGCATAATGAAGCTCAAAGAAACTCAGAGAGAGTTCTCTCTCTCTAAGAGAGAGTTGAACTGTCAGAAGAGAACGTGTTTCCAAGTCGTTCAGACGTGTTTCCAAGTTCCTTGTAGCGTTTAGTGTTTAGTCAATACAAATCCTATACTTTAACGATAATTGATTGAGGATTCATCAGATCTTTTCGAAGGCAAATACGTATAAGCTCAATGCTGAATACAAATGCTTTCGTATTCTTTCATTCAATATTAAAAATTCTTTTTCTCAAATTCTTTTTTTGTTCTTCTCAAATTCTTTTTAAAGTAAATGAAATTCGTAGTTTGTCGCTCATTAAAGAAATTTGATTAACCACCAAAGAGAAGCATTTTTCTGGATGTCAACTACAAATTGTGCCTGCAAATTGGTAATTGTGATTAAAGCTTACGACTAGAACGATCAAATAAAACGATCATCAAATATAAATGAATCTCACGCCCATTTCCCTTTAATCCCTAAAGCCAAAACCTTTCTAACTCAATGGTTTTTGACTTTGTGCCTCAAATTTTCTAGCTTTTTTTGCCAGCAAACAATCCAAATAAAAAATGCTTGGATTTGTGAAAGATTTCAACTCATCAAATCAAATGTGAAAGATTTCGACTCATCAAATCAAATTTCGTCTCACAGTTAGCACCTGTGTCCCATTTCAACAAGAACAAACCCAATAACATTTCAACATTTCCCAAACTAATTTCTGTAATCTGTAATCAAGATTCAATTTGTTTATTTTTAAAAACTCTTGACTCTCTCCAAAAAAAATCAATATCTAATCCCCGTTGTTTTCGTCTTTTTTCTCAAATCTCTCGCTCTTTCAAACTTGTTTACATGTAAAGTGCACGAGCAAAAATGAAATGGCCTTATCATTTTGGCAAAAATTTCATTATTTTCCACATTTTTCCCGAATTTCTCCTTTAAAAGCCTTTTTTCATTAAAGGTCTCTAAAGGTCTTTTTTTCTTTAAAATCGTCCCTTTTAGCCCCGACCCTGTAGCCCGGTTAGCTCAGTCGGTAGAGCACCAGACTCTTAATCTGGCTGTCGCGGGTTCGAGCCCCGCATCGGGCTGATGCTTTTTTACTTTTAAAAAAATTATTTGTATATTCATTTTTCATTCTACAATGTTTTAAAACTCTCGCATTTTCTAAAAAATGTTCGATTTTAGCATGACATTTCCGTCAAGCGTCTTAATAACAGGAGCTGGACGAGGTTGGTTTAGCTTTTCAAGAAATTTAACTCAAAACTCTAATATGTTTAAATTCCAGGCATTGGCCTTGGTCTAGTGAAAGAGTTCTTGAAAAACGATCAAGTGAAACACGTTTTTGCGGCAGTGAGATGTCCGACGAAAGCTGATGTGAGTCTAAAAGAGAATCAAAGAATAATAAAAGTCTAAAGACTAATAAAACTAGAGACTAAAGACTAATAGGTTTATAATTTCTCAAAAAAAGAATCAATGAAATCAATTTGAATCCAATCAAATTCTAGGAGTTGACAAAACTGAACGATGATCGACTTCATGTCATTAAAATGGATGTTCTCTATGATGAGTCGATTTTAGAGGCTTTTCAAAAAGTATAAGCAAAAAAAGGGTATTTCCCATTAAAAACCCCACAGCATCAATCCCATTATACCCCCACATTTAACAAAAAACAACAAAATTTTAGTTTGCATCAATCCCATTATAAATGGCAGGTTTTAAAAAAGCTTTCCCCCACAAATGGCAGGTTTTATAAAAAGCTTTTACTACAATCCACAATTCATACCCTCTGTGATGGGTAAAGAAAACATTAAACAGATAGAAAACGGCGCTAGAAAATGAGAATAGAAAAATATTTGTTTCTTCTTTGGGAAAAACAGCATTCAGATAAATGCTTTGGCATGCTAATTTTTTAAAATCTGGGGCTATAACAGGAATGATGCGTGTGGGGGAATAATGGGATTGATGCTGTGGGGGTATAATGGGAGAGTACCAAAAAAAGAGATTTTAATTGCATCAATTTATGCTAGTTTTTTTTAAAAACTTAGCTAAAGAAATGGTTTTAAGTATTATTATATTTTTTTTGCTTAAAGAAACAACAATCTTTCTTGCTTAGGTTGAAGAAATTTGCGGCGAGCATGGCCTCAATCTGCTCGTCAACAACGCGGGAATTTGGGTCGAGTACGAAGTTTGCCTATAGCTTTTATTTCAATTCTAACTTACGATTTTGATCTACCATATTTTCTCTAATATTAGTGCACCATGAGCGTCGCCTAAATTGCTCGAAATCTCGAGAACCGCTTATCAGAATCTATAGACGTGGGGTCGCAAAATGTAGCTGACGATGAGATCTAGTAAAGGATTTGAGTGTTGAGCTTCTGCAAAAGCTTGGAAACCGTAAAATAGTCATCAACTCGGCTCGCCGGGGTGCACTACTATTAGAGAAAGTACGGTATATGTTATTATATTTGATGGATAACTTTAATCTGCTTACAATTTTTAGCTCTCCGACGGTCCGAAGAGGGATATGTTGAGGAAAATTTTGGATACAAATGCCGCCTCGCCTTTAATCGTTTCACAGGTGTCTTTGAGATTTAAAAATCGGTTTTGAGCCTTAGTATATCTAGATTTTATCGATTTTTTAAAAATTTTATAACTATATCTTGCTTCCTATAATGGAATTTTCAAGGAGTTTACCGTATTTTTTTGAGGTATTTTTGCCACTTCTTCGTCGCGCTGCCTCGAAAAGTCCTGAGACTGAATGGGGAATACAAAAGTGAGTATAAAAGACAAAAAGAAAATTATTTTATCAATCTATTAAATGAAATTTACGTAAAAACGATTAACTTAAGAATCAGTGAATCAGAAAAGGAAGAAGTAGCTTAAGAAAGAAAGAAGAAAGAATAACAATCAACGGTTTTTAGAAAGAAAACTTTATGCAACAACAGTGGTTCGTTTACTCGTTTACATTTTTGCTAATAGTTAATATTTCTTAGCATTTTATCTATAGTTTTTTGTTTACTTTGTAAGTGTTCAACTCTTTCAGAGCTTCCATAGTAAACATCAGCTCTGGAATGGGCTCAATCAGCGAGAATATGACTGGCAGCGGGTGCTCGAAATCAATCGCCTATCGAATGAGCAAGGAAAGTTTTCGACTTTTAAATGATTTAGAGTTAGATCATTATAATTATCATTTAAATCTTCTCATTATAAAGCCTCTTTCCAATATGTGGTCAAGCTTTGATTTAAGGCGGCAGTCAACCAAATGACTCGAACGCTGGCTATCGATTTGGAGCCCGATGGGATCATGGTGGTGTCCTGGTGCCCGGGATGGGTGAAAACCGATATGGGAGGACTAGAGGCTGAGATTACGGTGATTTTTAGCTAAAGAACTGAAAATTTGAGCCGTTTTTCTACACCCAACCAATTCAACAAAACTAAGATACTAAGCTGAGAAACTCAAGGTTGAAACTGACCTGAAAAGCCGATTTTATCTGATAGCTGATAAATTATTTTGAGGAAACGATTTACTTTATCCATTTCTACATAAAAATATAATAAAAATCAAGCTAATCAAGTAATTCAGGTTGATGAATCGGCCATCGATTTCATGCAAACTCTTTCGCATTTTGGAAAAGAGAACACTGGTGGATATGTGAGGAGACACGGGGACTCAATTGATTATTAAGGGATGAGAAAAATCTGTATAAACATGTAAATATTTACAAACATATTTCCTGGTTGTGTCATTGGATAAATTGTACTTTTATGGCAATAGTTGAAAATAATAGCAAATCAAAAACTGTGGCTGATCCATGATGGCTGATCCATGATGGCTGATCCACTTACAAAGCGATTTCTATAAACATTCACATTGTTAATTGATAATGAGACAAAGACTATTTCTATGTTCTACTACTTTTACTTACTTTAGCTACTTTTAGCTAATTGTAAGAAAATTCCAGGAGAGGAAAATTGCCAAATTTGTCTGTTAGTGCAAGTTTCTTTATCAAAACTTATCAAGAAATGTCATCAAAACAATGAACTTCATCAATTCTTGGTAGTTGAGTCAAAATCGAACAAAACAAATCCCGTCTTTTGCAGCTTACGATTATCTGGTACAGAAATGTTCCCAGCCAATGGCTTCATTGTTGGCTTTTTCCTGGTTCAACCAAAACTCATAATCAGATTGAATCTGGTTTTGCTTGCCTGATTTTCAGAATATCAATGTCCCTGAATGCCTGCTTTTTCAAGCCCTCCAAGACAAAATCTATCTGGACTAAGCTATGCCAAGTTCAAAAGTTCAAAAGCCAGCCCTTGCCTGATTCACAAATAGTTCTTTGTTCAGAAGCCTGGCTTGACTCTGACCAGGCCTTTTCTGTCTTTTCTGGCCGGTTTCTAGCCTGACTCTAACCAAACCTAGGATCCAATTTGATCCAATCGATCCACTGCAATTCCCCCGTTTGATCGGAAACGATTCAAGAGTGACGCCTCTTTAAATCCTCTTCTTAACCCCTTGAGCATCAAAATTGTGGTTGAATCGAGTGCAGATTTGGGTGGTCTCATTCATCTCTTCAATGGGGTGCAAAAGATGAAAGGGACTTTGGGGGAAGGGGTGAGTAACGAGAAGTGAGAGACAGACATTAGGATGAGGGAGTGTCTTTCATAGGGTACCCGGGTACCCCTCCACTCCTCCACCCCTTCCCTCTACCCCCCCCCTCCACCCCTCCCCCAATTGGATCATGCCTTCCCTTTCCCAATCCCATTCCTACTTCTCTTCCTTTTCCCGTTTCACTACACCAATCTTGCGTCTCTTTCTTCAGATATTAGCGCCAGTGAATATACACAGCTTTAGGTGTCTAAAGAAGCTATGATTACTATTTGAATTTGAACTTTTCTTTATTCATTGTTTTCTTTTCTTTTTTCAAATTTTTGTTTTCTTATTAGTATCTTTTTTTTGTATTATGATCTGATTTAGCTATTGATAGAGATAGAATTGAGAAAGCAGATCCGAGATTTACAATGAGGAGATTAACCAACCAGCGTAGTTGATCCCAGAAATAAACTACCGAGAATAAATAGCAGAACTTGTCATTTCTTCCTATATTTCTAATCAGAATAAACAGCAGAACTTGTTATTGCTTCATATAGTTCGAATTATTGTTCCATAAAGATTTTTTCAGACAAGCAAGACCAGGCCAGGTTCAACAAAGATTTCAAAGGCATTGTTCTGGATCAGAAGGCCAGACCATAAGGCCAGGTCCTGGCTTTGCTGGAGGCTTGGCTTGTCTTGGCTTTGCTGGAGGCTTGGCTTGTCTTCTATTATAGCTGAACTAAGACCTGGTTTGGCTTACGATTCTAGAATCCGATTGGGAAATTTCTTTTTATAGGATATTCATGGGCTTATCAATCTCAAGACAAGGCTCTAAACAACACCAAAAAAGAATCAAAAGACAGAGTTATGAAAAATGGTTGCTTTGAGTTCCATTTGTTTTTAGCCTAGACCTCTAACCAGTTTCTCTTTATCAGAAATATTGTCTTTTTTTGTAATGCACAGGAATACCAGCTGAATTCAAGAAAAGGGACATTGTAAAGTCTAAAAACTTTTCTTTTCCTTAACATCTTTTCCTGACACCTTTTCGTTGGGGAAAATGACGTGCAAATCCGTTTTAACTCTTCGTTTTCTATCTTTTTGTTTTTTTTTTCTTTTCCTTAGCCGATCCACCTTTTTTCTTCCCCAATTTGGGAGGGTGTAATCCGAGAATTTTTCAAGCACCCTCTTCTTTTTTTGAATCTTCAGAGCTGAATGCTCGGCTTTTCCTTCTTTTCCTTTAAAAATCCCATTTTGGAGTTCTAATCTTTTTTTTTCTTGTTTATTTGATTACACATAGCTCTAGAACTAATCAGCTATGCAATTTGTAGGCGAATGTAAAAGTTACTGTACTCTAAGCAGCATATTGGCAGTAAAACCGGTACTACAAGGTGACTGCGAATTATAGCGACAACTTTTTGGAAAAGTATCTGAGAAATGTCGAATTTATTTCAAAATTGGCAAGTGTTATATGGAGAATTGTAGCCCTAATTCTTGACAACATTTACCTACCAAAAACTACCCGATTCAACTTATACAACTCATTTAAAAACACTTGAATGAGCTTGAAAAATGAGAGATTCGTCGGGGAGATGTCGACTAGCTTCAAGCGCTTTTTAAATGAGTTGCATAAGTTGAATCGGGTAGTTTTTGGTAGAGAAATGTGGCTAAGAATTAAGGCTACAATTCTCTATCTAACACTTGCCACTTTTGAAATAAATTAGACTTTTCCCAGCTACTTTTCCAAAAAGTTTCATTATTTCCCACACTTTTCCCTATTTTTCCAAATTGAAATTTCTTGGTCTTTTTCCTTTAAAAGTGCCCCTCTTAGCCCCCGAGTCCGTAGCCCGGTTAGCTCAGTCGGTAGAGCACCAGACTCTTAATCTGGCTGTCGCGGGTTCGAGCCCCGCATCGGGCTGAGACTTTTGAAAAAATTATTTTTAGATGTAATATGCCCATCTTTGAAATTATTTAAAAGAAAACACATATTTTTAGATTATCAACTTTTTATCTGAGTTACATTACTCTAGTAATAGGCTTATACGCTAAAAATTGCCTAGTTTACAGTAAAAAGTTTCAAAAGAGAGTCTTTCTCGACAAATGTCGATTCTTTGGCCTAAAGTCTGAAGGAAATTAAGGTTCTGAAAGCTGTAAAAGCTTTTGACATTTAATAATTCATTGACAATGAGAAGCCAAAGAGCTTTTGAAGTCTTGATTGGTTTTAAACAAGAGAAGACAAGGTTTTAAACAAGAAATGATTCCTCGGGCAACTTTTTTCGCTTTTTACCCTCCTCGACTTTTATGCAAGTCGCAAATTTGTTCTTTTCTTTTTTTTGCTTTTCTTTTTTTGCTTCTCTTTTTTGTTTCTTTTCATTTTTCCTTCCATTTTTGAGCTGCACATGGCAGATCCCAGCTAATTATCGACTCTTTCCACCAAAAAGTCACCAAAAAAAATTTGTTCTTTTATCAAAATTTTTTTATTTTGGACAGCCTCATTGGGACTACAAATTCTCTGAAAAAATTTTTAGCCAAACTTTCGCTTTTTTTCTTTTAGAAATTATCCTGATAAAACTTAGCAATGTTAAATTGTAATATGTGCAATTTAGGCGCTCATGGTGCACTACAAATCCACTTAAACCTAAACACACTCTTTCTGGCGCACTTTCTGGCATTGATTTCTTCAAGTTTTTTTCAAAATCAACGCATTGCTACAAGAAAAACGAAGAATTTTAGAATTTTAGAAAGGGTTCGTTTAGGATTCTAGAATCCAATCGGATCGGATTCTAGAATCGTAAGCCAAACCAGGTCTTAGTTCAGCTATAATAGAAGACAAGCCAAGCCTCCAGCAAAGCCAAGACAAGCCTCCAGCAAAGCCAAGACAAGCCAAGCCTCCAGCAAAGCCAAGACAAGCCAAGCCTCCAGCAAAGCCAAGACAAGCCAAGCCTCCAGCAAAGCCAAGACAAGCCAAGCCTCCAGCAAAGCCAAGACAAGCCAAGCCTCCAGCAAAGCCAAGACAAGCCAAGCCTCCAGCAAAGCCAAGACAAGCCAAGCCTCCAGCAAAGCCAAGACAAGCCAAGCCTCCAGCAAAGCCAGGACCTGGCCTTACAGTCTGGCCTTCTGATCCAGAACAATGCCTTTGAAACCGTTTTCACATTTTTGAGCATAAAGAGAATTTTCATAAAATCTAACCACTTCCCAATGGTAGTTAGGATAAAATTTTCAATCAATGCACCAGAAAATCCACCAGAAAGTGAGTGTTTCTAAAGGTTGAACACAAAGTACAAGTTTGAAAAGGTTTTCAATTCAGAATTGAAAAGTTTTATAGAAGTTTTTTTGTTAGTTTGTTTGTTAACATTTTATTAAGTTTATAGATAAATCGAAGGATCATCGGGGAGAAGAGGAGAGTTTTTATCGGCCTTTAGGGGGCAAGTCGCGCACCCTGCTTTGGCCTGGGTTCAAGAAAGGAAAGGCAAAAAGGCCTGGGAAAGGCAAAAAGGCGAAAAGAAATATAAAGAAGCCAAAAAGACCACCTTCTTTTTTGCTAGAGTGGAGCTGGGAAAAGGGTCTAATCGATGCCTGGGCCCGCGTGGGGCTCTCCCCGGCTCTAGAAGACCCTTTTGCCCCTTTTTCCTTCTCTTTTTCTTTCCTTTTTCCTATTCTTTGTCCTTTCCCATCCCCTTCCAATAGATGTGGCTCTTCGAACCCTTCGATCTCCCACCCCATTTCCCCCGTCCACGATTTTCGCTCTTAGCGTCGTGTTTTTTGGATCCTCGTCAATCCACTATCCAATCAAAATTGAGATTTTTGTTTTAAAGGGTTTAAATCTTTGATATCTCTTTCTAATGTTTGATTTATTTTGATATTTATGTTTTTCTATCTCTTTCTTTTGTTGATATCTCTTTGTTGATATTCTCTATCTTAAAAAACGAATTTCTCTACCTTCTACATTAGTAACTTCTGTATAACGATGTTTTCTGTGTCCCAGAAAAACGTCAATATATAATCGTTGATAAAATGTTGACAAAAAACCTTTTATACAACAATTTTCGATATAACGATACTTCTTTATAACGATATTTTTTTGAGAATATAGT